TAATGGTTGAAGTTCTTGACAACATTTAGTAGAATTCCCTAAGAAACTGGCAGGATATTGCTAATTTCCTCACTTTTCAAATGTTGATTAATGATGCAGTCATCTATGCAATTAAGGTATTTAGTAAGCATTCCCAGGATGCTTCTTGCAGAGGGAAATATGAAATACAGCATACATTGTAAAATGGATATTGGACAGTTTCTCATGAGTTTCCTCTCATCTAGAGAATAAAACAAGGATATAAATGAACATTCTTTGGGTAGAACTGACATATTCTCCCCCATCCCGTTTTCCATGTGCTTCCGTAAATGCCTGCTGATTAGTAGTTAATATTTTAATATTAGAAGCAAAGCCCTAGAGTAAAAATTAATTTTCATAGTTATATGGCATATATAATAAAACTTTTTTTTTTTTTTTACACATCTCATTAGAGTATCATCAATTCTACTTCTAGCTTAAGAAACTAAATCTTCTGTTTTTTGTTTGTTTTTGGCAGGTGGCTGGATTAGGGATCTGAACCCATGACCTTGGTGTTATAAGGTTGTGCTCTAACCAGCTGAGCTAACTGGCCAGCCCCATAGCTTAAGAAACTAAATCTTATAAACTAGATATTTCTACTGGGTTAATTAAGAATATTAACTTCAAAAACTAATAACCTCTGAAGAATATTAACTTCAAAAACTAATAACCATTTGGGGGGGGAACATTTTTTTAAATTGAATTACTATTTTAAAGGCATGTTATCTAGATTCCCAAGTTTCTTTTTTGATCCTTATCTGTCTCATGAATTGAATGTCCATAAAGATGAGTATTAGTAATACCTATACTTTTCATGTTAGACATCTCTTGGTTGATCTTGCTTCAAAGTAACTTACTTCTTTGTAGTGTTAAGTTACTCTAATTTCCTACCTCCATGCCTTTTATTTTCCTCTGGAGACAACCTTTCCAGGGCATGACCTAATGAATTCTGGTTCAAATTTCCAAATTATTCTGAACCAAAGTGATTTCTATCATTTGGTAGAGGGAAACTGCATTAAATACCCTAGTGAGGGAATTTTACTGTTTCATACCAGACTAAAGTACTTTTCTTGAAATATTGAAATTGAACTTTCACATTTATGAGAATGTAAATTGCAACAGCACATTGTAACATGTCATGGGTCCAGTAGAGCCTTAGGTCAAGGGTTTTTGCTTTCTTTTTAACCTCCATTAAAAATAGTAAAAATAGCAGTGTTTTTAATTATTTTTCCTTTCAAAAATAGAAAAATATGTCCTTCTCTCCAGAGAGATATTATCTTCAGTTATTTCTATAATTTATGTGGTTGCATGGGTTATGTTTTTGTAGTTTTTATTTGGCTTGACCAAAGCATAAATTCAATTTCATAGGTATGACTGGTTAAACTTCTCTTTTAAAACTTGAGTGTAGTTTTCTAATTGAGAAAGAGAGTTAATTTTTGTGCTCACCTCTTTATTCCTGACTTCTCTGCCATCTTCTTGTCTCAAAAGCTTCCTAACATCTAGCCATTTACTACTATCATTACATCATAGTTACGCTATATACATCATCTGAAATTGAATTTGATATTTTTCTATAGCATTTCTTCTGTAACCCTCAAATATGGTCACTAGATTTCAGCTCAACCTTCAGGAGCTTCTTAGATTGTATTAATTGCCATCTTTGAAGGTTTCCTGAAGCAGCATGGCATGATCAAAAAACATACTGGGTTTCAAAGGCCAACTGGCTGGGCTTCCTCAAGACCCTGACATTTAATTTCTTTTGCTAACAAGTTGGCTGAACCTAGGTCTTTGCTGTGAGTTGCAACAATAGGCAGTGAACAAACTTATCTGTAAAATTCGGTGTACATCCTGTTTGTGTAAGTCAACTGTGCCACTCATGGGATTTGGCTGTAAGCAAGAGAAACCAACTATGACTTTTGGAAGTCTGTGGACACTAAAGAATTCTGTATGGGCTGGAAGGCTTGAATCAACAGGAAACAAGTGAGCCCCAGAAACCAAGAAGCAGAACATATAATAGCAATTCTTTGTAGGAAGAATCTGGTCAGGACATAGCCCCATTGCTTCCTCCTTTGTGGGTAAGTGTAGCCATCCCTTCATCTTTCTGTCACACACTCAGGAATGAAAGTGTCAAGCAAGAACATCCAGTTGGGTGAAGCTATGTCATGTGTCCACCCTGGTAGCCAGAGAGCAAGGACAGTGATGGATAATCTGGCCTTATAAGCAAGAGAAACCAACTATGACTTTTGGAAGGCTGTGGACACTAAAGAATTCTGTATGGGCTGGAAGGCTTGAATCAACAGGAAACAAGGGAGCCCCAGAAACCAAGAAGCAGAACATATAATAGCAATTCTTTGTAGGAAGAATCTGGTCAGGACATAGCCCCATTGCTTCCTCCTTTGTGGTAAGTGTAGCCATCCCTTCATCTTTCTGTCACACACTCAGGAATGAAAGTGTCAAGCAAGAACATCCAGTTGGATGAGGCTATGTCATGTGTCCACCCTGGTAGCCAGAGAGCAAGGACAGTGATGGATAATCTGGCCTTTTTTTTTCCTGCTAACTACTCACTATGAAAAGTCACCCCCCACCCCTGAATTTAAAAGAGTGACTTTCAGAATTTACAAAATCCTGTAAATATTCACTACTTTCATAAAACAAAATACTAATTATTAATTTTGACTATTGTTTAAAAATAGGACTTTTTTCCTGGGTCATCATGTTGAAGCTGGAGAATCCCAACCCTACAACATAATATCTGGACTAGCTCAATTTCTAATTCCTAATATGTAAATTTAAAATACCAATATCTACTGAATAGGAATATGTTGAGATACTATTTATAATGCCTTAAACACAATAACAAGTACATGGCAAGTATTCCATTTTTAATGGTCTTTTTGTGCTTGGGCACCTGATATGATTGATGGATTATAATTTTAAAAATATATATATATATATAATTATTTTGCTGCACAATGACTGTTTGTCTGTATGCAATTTTAAAACAAATTATGTAGTTGGATTTTTTTTTTTTTCTTTAACAGACAGGCTAGCCTCAACGAAGCAGCAGAGAAGTATTATGATCTGGCAGCCAAGCTAAGGCCTAATGTAAGTACATCTCTAAATACAGAATTATGATTTCTGCATGAGTGTGGTGTTAACTACCTTGTATTTGGAAAGATTGCAGATTCATTTTATCTCCTTAGTTTTCTTTTATTTAGGATGGCTCATCTCTAATAAAAATATGGCTTAATGCTAAAATCAGCGTAACTTATAAATGGTCTAAAATGTTTCTGCAAATTAGAGATTGTCCCTTATTTCTTTTGTACCTAAGAGAAAAATAGGCTCAGTTGTGTTTAGGAAAAGGACTTCCTTAGAATGAGAAAAGAAAATCATGAAGAAAATCTAAGAAGGGGTAGTGGACTCAAAACGTGATTGTTTTAGGACATAGAAGTGTTGTGGTGCTAGGTTTTTTCCCCCTCTGATTTCTTATTCTGAAAACCCACTAAACAACTAATTCAATGATAAAATTCACTAGTCTCAAGCTTCCTTCTTTTTCTAAAGGTAAAAATTGCTCTTTTCTAGCCTGTGTAAAGCACCACAATTTTTATCATTTGAATGAAGGCTTTAGCATTACTAAATACTTTGTATTTGGATGAATTTTAAAATTAAATCCTTGGAGCTTTTAGTTTTATTTATTTATTTATTCCTGCTCTCGTATTAAATAACTTATTTTTTGGTTTCGCATACAGTCAAACCTCAAGTTCTGTGCTTCTTTCCTATTCCACAATCCTCATTTGTTATATCTGTGCTTTTCAACATTATCAAGAATGTTCTTGTTATAATTTTTCCCTGGGTAGATACACTTTCATAAAGCAAGATGGATATAAATTAGGTACTTACTATTGAAATAGAGTAACCATTTATGGGAAAATAAGAACTGGTTTTATATCGGTCTTCTAAGCACATTTAATTCATAGCACATCACTGAATTCCAGTGCATTGGTTTTATTCTCATATATATTCTGCAACACTCTCTAATACTAAAACCTTCTACAGTGCTCTCCAGATCTAGACAATCTATTGAGAAATGTAATTTTGAAACTGTAATGAAAGTGCACATGTGATGTGGGTACAAATAATGGGATCAGTCTCATTTCTTTATAGTAACTCATCCATTGGGCAAGCTCTACAGAGTGCCCACGTTGTGTGGTCTTTTAGGATTTAATACCCTAAGATACCACACAATGTAGCAGAGAAGAATATAATCAACTAATTGAAATTTAATGTGGTGATTCCTGCACAGAGGTATATACAGTCCTCCCAGAGCACAAAAGAGAGGATTAATGCTCCCTGAAAGAGACCTACATGGGAAGTAGCTTTTTTTTCCCTAGGAGATTAAACCACATGTGACCTTAGCCCAGAATCTAACTGATCTCAGTTTCATTTGCAGGGGAGAAAAAGTAATATTTTTTCCTTACTCATTGCAAGATTTATGGCTGATACTCCTAAAGCAAAAGACAGATTAACAAAAGAAAAGCATACAAATTTATTTAATGTAAGTTTTATGTGACACAGGAGTCTTCAGAGATGAAGACCCAAAGAAACAGGGAAAACTATGTATTTTTATATACGGTCATGCAGAAGTGTAATTGGAGGAAAAAAGGGTATGATCTAATGGTGATAAATTGGGGGGGACTTAGCAAGATCTCTTTGTTCAGATTCTTCTCTGTGTCCCTGTGTCTTCAGAGATAAGGCTGTTAGTGAGGGTCTTATGATCTACTTCAGGGGAGGAGGGAAGGAAACACTCAGAGAGTGACCTTCCTGCTTCTTTGGTTTTCTCAGTTTCCTCCAGTTTAAAATATTCAATATTTTAAAAATATGCCAAGGTGCCATATTTTGGGGTGGTTGTTGTGAACCCTGTCACATTAGTTATGAGGTTCTTCAAGACTGGATGTGTTGTTTGCAACAGAGGAAAATAATAATCATAATGGTAAGAACAATGACAGCTAAAATTTATTGAGCACTTATGTGCCAAGCACCATGCTAGATACTTCATGTGAATTCCATCACTCATTTCTCACAAGAACCCACAGCAACTCCCATTCTGCTGAAGGTGAGAGAAGTTAATAACTTGCCCAGCATCACAACTAAGTGGAATCATATTGTAACCCAGGGCACTGTGTGCTTAAGACCTTGATGGAAAAAAATGTAGCCATATTTTAGAGAGGAAATACAAACCAGAAATTTGGGAAACCAAAATAGTGATGGTGCTCTCATCTATTTATTCTATAAATATTTACTAAGTACCAGGCACTATTCCAGACACTGTATATACATCAGTGAACAAAATGGACAGGAGTGCCTGCTTGTTAGGAGCTCACAATAAGCATATGAGAGGTCTTCAAAAAGTTCATGGAAGGATTTGTATTATCTTTTAATTTGATCTTTCCAAAAACTTTTTGAAGAAACCTCACATAACTGTCATATATCAGACAGTGATGAGCACTTGGGAGGAAAATGGAGCAGCACAAGGTCGTTAGGATTTGCAGGGGGCTGTGCAGCAGGCATGATGTTGTAAATGCCCGAAGTGGGCACCTTTGTCCAGTATTCTAAGAAAAGGGTTGGATTTGAAGTCTTAACTTATTATTATAATCTCATTGAAGGCAGACATCAGGGTCGTGTGTGTGTGTGTGTTGTTCCCTTCCCATTGATTACTATATCATACTCTAAATAGAAATAATATATAAATAATAAGTGATAGTTAACTTCAACCTTTATTCATTGAGTACCAGTCACTTGAATTTCACTTTTATTTTTGTTAAGTCATTGGTCAAATGGTCATCTTCAGTATATTGCAGTGGATTAATGAGAAAAGAGTTATCTGACCCAACCTATAAAAATGAAAAAGACACTCAGGCACCAAAAGAGTTGAGCCAAACTTGTGAGATTGTTTATTTTAAAAGACCAGCCAGATCATAAGATCAATATTTAATCTCCAACTCAAAGCCATTTTTTTTCCCTGAAACCCCAAAATGTTTCTTCATAAACCTGCTGCAGACTGCTTTTGAAAATGTTTTTATTCAAATGATTCTTTTGTTTTCTGGTAACAATAAATTAAATATTTTGTGGACTTGGGTAGAATACAAAGTTCATATTTAACAATATGTAAATGATGTCACGATTGATGGATCAACAGATGTGGTCTCTTCCTAATCTGTTTTACAAATTGTGTTTTGATTTTCAGTACCTAGTTTAGGTGAGTAAGATGCCAGATGCCACGGAAGCAAGAGTGATAAAATATGAACCATGGCAAACATATAAATTTCTATTCTGAAACAGAGATCTGCTTAAACAATAGCCCGTGTAATGATTTATTAGCAATCACGCATCTGATCTACATTAAAGCATCCATCTACCATTTATCTTGCTCATCGTCATTTATTTCTCTTGTTCATAAAAACATTCTTTGTTATTTCTCTACTTTAACATAATAAATTTCAATTACCTGCTTTTGTGAGAACATAGCAAGCAGACCTCAATTCCAATTCCCCATGTAGGTAATTTCATTGTCTTTTCTATTTTTCTCATCTACATGGTAGTCTAATCTTACTCTGATTTTTAATAAAGCATTTTGTTCTGTTGTTTAATTGCCCCCACAACTGCAACAGTCAGGAGCTTTATGTGGGGGATACTGTGAAGGTTTTAGCAATGTTTATGTAAGGTCATGACTATACAGAGAAATATACGTAGCTGCAACCCTTGTGTACTACCACTTATTACCATCATTTTTAAAAGATTGTTGATTATCTGTATGATACGGTTCTTAATAAAATACCTGTTGAAAATAAAATACATATTGAAAATCTCATTTATTCAATATGTACCATAGTGAATCTTTTTTATGTTTCAAAAGCCATACTTTTCTACATAATTTATTTTGAAATTATTCACTGACATTTTGAATTATTTTATGTACAAAGAATTCCAGTGATCCAATGCTAAAATAATGAAAAGAGTCTAAATTAGCAGGCATAATATGTTGTAGATTCTGATATTATCTCATCAGAGATGCTCAATACATTGTCATTTACTGAAATGCATACTTAGAGATATGTATTTATTACAAAAGTGGCACATTAAAATTTTTTAATGTTATTTATTTGATTTGGGAGGAGCGATAGCTCTAAAGGTAAACCTCATATTATATTAAGACATATTTGTGTAATAGGAAAACTCTTTACCAAAATTATCATCTTAAGTTTTTCTAGTTTTAATTTTTCCTTTTTACAAATAAATTGATCTTTCTATGGAGATTACTTTAAAAAGGCAACAGTCTTCTTCATTTTCTCTCCCATTTATGATTATCAAAAAATGCTGACTCTTGAGGACTAGAGAGAACATTTAAATGAAACTGCTTTGTTCTTCCTGTGGGAATTAAGCCAAATTCTGCATTAACTCATGGATTTTAAATTTAATTAATGTTAAGGATGGGAAATTTATATAATACAAAGTCACCCACTTTTACTTGGCTTTTAGTCGACTCTAGAGTCAGAAGAGTGTAACTGCCAGAGATCAGGTCTATACATCTTGTATTTTTCTGGATATAATTGCTTTTATTCTGAATTTATTCCACTTTTTTTTTTTTTAAATCAAGTTCCAGCTTGATGTGAGACTATGCCAAGTACATGAGGATTTCAAAACAATGAAAAATTAACCCTGATCTTGAGAACTGTACAATCTGATGTGGGGAGGGAAATGGAGGAGAGAACATGTGAATCCCAATCCTTGTAGGTCAGGGCAGTAAATAATGCTATCTAATAAATGCTGTGTGAGAGATAAAAGCTGGTGCTAGCAAAGTGCACAGGAGAGAGAAATTACTTTCAGCTTGATTGATCTGAACAGTCCTCGAGTCAGAGTTGGCAAGCTTAGAGAAGCTAGAAATGATAAAATGTTTGTAGGTGAAGGTTTTAGAAAGAAGAGGAGAGAGAACTCTGGCAGGTACCAGCATATGCATGAACGAGGGTAGGGATTGGATGCAGAGAGGAAGTTGGTAGGAGAAGACAAAACTGGAAACTGACATAAAACCAGATGAAAGGCAGCACATA